TTTTCCTACTCAGTTGGCTTCATACTACGATCCTTAGATCTCAGTCTCCTGAGTAGATAGGGTTACAGGGATGAGACACTAGTGGCCAGCTTCTTTCTTATTTTTGTGTTAATTGTCATTAACTAGTTGTACAAAGGGTTTTAAGTTCAATATTTCAATTTTCTTTCTACAGATTTATACACTCATTCAGGTTTCTCACTTTAGTAAAGCTTCTGCCCAAATTTCATTTTTTTTTTACCAGTTCCTTCAAAACAGTACCCCCAACACTCCAGCCCAATTTTACATTCTTCTTCACATTTCACAGCAAAGGTATTTTATTTTATAAATTTATATGTTCTTTTCTCTCCATACACATTGTAAGTTCTGTGAGAATCAAAAAACTGTGATTCTAAGGATTGAACCCAGGACCTGTGTGTACTAGGGAAAAAATTCTTAACATTGAATTACAAACCCAGCTTCAGAAACTTTTTACATTCAGACATTTATCTCTAGCACCCAGAATGAACTCTGTAACATAAAAAGCAAATAATCACAAATGATGCGGGATTTGAAATATGACTACACTCATAGATAAACCATGAAGATATCCTCTAGTATGGAGGTTTTATAAGAGAGAACAAGTTAACTGTTTTGTTCATCATAACAGAATCATATTTAGGTGAATTATAATTTAGAATGCAAGATTTATGGTAGATTAGCTTCACATTTTTATATGTGATCATCCACATAAAGCAATAATGCTTGTTACATGGCATGTACATTTTAGTTTGTAAGAGTTGCCATAAGAAATACATAGTGTGATGCTTTTAATTCTGATTTTCAACTTGCTTAAGATAGAAATGCCTAGAGATTAGTAAAGTCTACCGTTACATATATCTATGAAGATGCTTCCAGAAACAATGGATCATGAGGATTCTGAGCAAATGGATTATTTAATCCACTGATGAGTGTAAAATTTGAATGGAAGCTGCACACAGTTGGCGCATGGCTATAATCCTAGGTACTCAGGAGGTAGATGTTACAAGACTTAAGGTTCAAGGGGGCGGGGATGGAGGGGTGGAATATGGGAAGGGATGGGAAGGGAAAACAAAGGAGGAGGCAACAATGCTTGATAAGAAATGTATTCATCTTGCTCATGTAATCACTTAATGTCAGTGATGATCACCCATCATCTCAGGTACAGCAGAAAGCATAAATATAAGGATCACTGAAGAGGCCAGCCTGGTCAAAACACAGACCTATCTTAAATAATAATCAGAGCAAAAATCAACTGGAGGAATGGCTCAAGTGCCAGTCTCTGCCTTGCAAGGTGAAAACTTCAGTTCAACCCAGTACAACAACAACAAAGGAGAATGGATTGTTGAGATGGGAAAAACTTCCTTAGGGCCTATATCTTGTTCTGACCCTTTCTTATTCCTCTCATTTTCTTATCTTCCATAATGTGAGTTGCTTTGCCATTCTATCTCTGCATTGATAGGCTGACACCTCTAAGCCATAAACCAAAGTAAATTTTTCCTCATTGAAGTTGTTCATGTCAGGTATTTTGTTACAGCTATGGCACTGAGAAGTAGGGCTATTGCTATGACTTAATCTTGACCATGTGGTCCAGAAAACTGTGGTTTTTGAGAAAAATTGAGAATAGTTTGGAGAAGCAGGTAGAACAGTCTTAGAATGTTACAAGCATAGCTTAATTGGGGGGAGGGGGTTGGGTAGGAGCTTGGAAGATCAGAATGCTGACAGGAACATGTAAAACGAAGGCTACACTAATGAGCTTTCAGGTAGAAATGAGAACTCTATTTGGAATCATCTATTGGAAGCCATCAATGTTACATTCTGGTAACAAATTTGTCTACAGTTTTCCCTGTCGTGAGATTTTGAATGAATCTGAATTAAAAGGCAATAGGTGAATTAATTTGGCAGAAAAATTTACAACAGTCAATATTCATGCTGTGGCATTGTGAATGCTGGCTACTTTTAGTCAGGTTTACAGTAAGAATGGAAAGTAAATAGGAGAGCAGATTTTAAAAATGTGTAGTTTTGCCAGAAATTGAGCATGTACCAAACTGAAAACAAGGAAATGATTATTGTTAAAAACAATTGAAGAATCATGTACTTTGCACAAAGACAATAGAAGAGATATCCTGAGAGCAACTCAAGAATTGGCTAGACTTCACACATGGCGTGCTCAAGTATGAAAGGGTAAAAATTATGTGAAAGAGTTTCTCTTGAGAAGAGATTGCTTCTGGAAACATAACTAGGAAGTTACATAACCTAGGAAGTTCTTTTCCAAGTATTCATTTCACTGTGTTCAGCTTCCTAGACAACTGGAGATTACTGTAAGTAGAGATTACTTTAAGTAGAGCGTGGCTAGTGCTCATGCTGTTAACAGATCTCAGCATTGTCTGTAATTTCGCCATTCAGGTAAGCAAAATGCAAGAGTTATGGGATGATGGAAGTCTCCACCCAGATTTCAAAGGAAGGCCTGGGAGACCAGGAAACTCATGACAATGAGAGGATCCCTGCAGGTTAACCCTAGAAAGTGACCTGTGAAGTTGGGATAACATGGCAAAGTTGCAATAGAAACATCAGGGTAATTGAGATTTCAGTAACATGGAGTATTTGTCAAGGAATGCCACAGACAATGAGAAGAGACAATGTAACCTTTTCTGCTTCCTATTTGCTATCATTTGGACTGCTTTACCATGTCCTCTCACCTCTCACCATGACAGACTGAAATCTGTAAAACTACGAGGAAAATAAGGTACCATAAGCTTTTTCTAAGAGGTAGTTTGTCAGAGTGACCATAAACTAATACATACAGGTAACACAAAAGCAAAAATTTATTTTTCCTAATTCTGAATGCTAAAAGTCTGAGATGAAGGTGTTTTCAGGGTTTTTTTTTTTTTGCAAGTCTTGTTCCCTTGACTTGGGGATGGCTTGGTGTGTTAAATTGGAACTTCTACTGTGTGTATTTGTCTTAATTCTGCTTCTTGTATGAGACCATACTAAACTAGGGACCATATCAATACCTAATTTTACCTTAGTTATTTCTTCATCTTCTTTATCTACTAATGTTTTAAGTCACATAGTGAGGTACAAAGGGTTGGAATTTTGACATGTAGATTTTCTGGGGAGCAAAATTAGTCCATGATAGAATAATGTTTGTTTGTTCTTATTATATCAGGCTTTATAGGTTTGAGCTGATACATATAGCCGAAAGATCCTCTTGTTCAAGAGTGTTTTCTTCAATCAATCATTCGCGATTCTGCCAGTAGCTATTTATTCTCTTAAAGCTTTCTCTCTCTCCTGACATTTTCCTTTAATGCTGCCAAGAATCCTGAATGGGATGAGTATGTAACAAATCAGCTTGTTTCCATGTTGCTTTATAAACTCTGTTAGTCAGTCACTTTTTAAAACCATCTGAGAATAAGAAACAGAAGACTGAGTCTTTGAAAAGAAAAAGCACAAAGTTTGCAATAGCCTGAGATTAAGTATCTCCAGGGTAAAAGTAAATAACAGAAAGGAAAGAAATGCAATTTGTCTATTAGCCATTTGTTTGGATTGGTGATGAGAAATACCTTTATAATTTTGCCACCAGCCATTTGTTTCAACATACCTACCAGGGATTTTGTAACTTTGGTATGTTGAAAATAATGGGTATATAGTACAGTACTAAATGAAGCATGATTGATGACAAGTATTAATACTCATAATACGTCTTTGTCTTGGCAACTGATGTCCTAGATAAAAATCATCAAACTCATAGTTCAATGAGCAGTGCATGATTTGAGCCTTGTCTCTCCCCTGGAAATGGAGTTTCTAAATTTGATGAAATGCTTATTCAATTGAATGGATAACTACGGTAGGTTTTCTTCTTATTCTGCATATAAATTATTGTCTAGGAACACTTTCACTATGTTTTATTCAGTCTGTAAGGTTTATTGTCTTTGTTCTTTGTTCTTTTGTTATTCTCTCTATCAAAATCATTTCTAAATAGGCCTACTTATCAAATTCAGTCCCTGTTTAAACTTTGGTTACAATTCTCTATTTGTTTCTACAAAAAAGATTTGGACAAAATCCCACTGTAAATAACCCAGGACATATTAATTCTCTCTGAAATATATTTTTTTAAAAAGAAATACAATATATAGCTCCTATCCATTGGTATCTTTAGATTTTGGTTAATAAGACTCAATTGGGGTTTAAATTGACTTTTTCAATATATTGACATCCTCATATAGGTTTATCCTGTAGTAACAAGAGTGCAAAAAAGAGGAATAGAAGATAGTCACAACATTTTTATTTGTAAACAGTGAGTGGAGAGATCCCAGCCTGCTCACAAAGCTCATTTTTATGACAGTGGGATGCAGAAAATGGTAAGAGTTATAACTGCATTACAAAGTAATTATACTATGCACATGATAGGAATGGTACACGTCTTCCTAGATGCTTTGAAGATGAGCACAAGCCAGTGAATATGCTATAAAAATCAGAGTAAACTTAGACAAGTGATGTTCTTTACATATATATGTGTATATATAGGTATATGTACATGAATGTACATATTATATATGTAGTTATGTGTGCCAAAACGATGTGACCCCATTTTGCATATCTGCCATTTTCTTTTCTTTTCTTTCCTTTTTCTTTTTGTCAGTCGTGGGGATTGAACTCTGAGCTTGGACACTATCCCTCAGCTCTTCAGCTCAAGGTGAGTGTTCTACCACTTGAGCCACAGTGCCACTTCCAGTTCTCTGGTGGTTAATTGGAGATAAGAGTCTCACAGACTATTGTGCCCAGGCTGGCTTTGAACCACCATCCTCAGATCTCAGCCTCCTGAGTAGCTAGGATTACAGGCATGAGCCACTGGCACCTGACCTAAATATATGTTTATTTGTTTTTGTCAGTCATAGGGCTTGAACTCTGGGCTCTTCATCTAAAGGATAGTGCTCTACCACTTGAGCCACAACACCACTTCCATATCTGCCATTTTCACACACCTGATTTTCCTGGATTGTATCCCTCTTCCACATCGTGGTGACCTCAGCTCATTGTTGATTTTGCATGGAGACCAGTGTTCTACAACCCAGGAATACTGATTGCATTCATTGTAACATGGGACTGCCTCATGCACCTGTCAAGAATAGGAAAAGAAAAAAATTATGTGGAACTATCCACATTATAGAAAAATAGCCTATCATTCAGTAATGCCTGCTGAACATAACCCAAGAAATTATTCTCTCACCCAAATAGCCAGATTTCATTCCCCTAAAGAAAGATGTATTTGACTTCTCTCAATTTACTGACTTGCCTAAAGAAGCATACAGGGGAATCAACTAAAATAAGATGATATGACTTCACAGAAGAGAACAAAGGATAATCATTTCCTAGCACCATGAGTAGAAATTCCATTATCATTTCATTTCCTAAAAGAACTCACATACCATCAGATGGTCCAACTCTCAATTATATGGTGTATTGTATTCTCTAATGTATTTTACATGTCAATTGAAACAAATACATATATATATATATATGGAAAATTTACTTTTGAATATAAAGTTTTTGAATGTCTAAGAAAAGCAATATTATAATTCATTTTATGCCCCCAAATGATGTTAACAGATAATCATTCAGCCTCTTGGGCACTGTGGGTTCATATGAATGGTGCTATTTGTAAGATGTTTTCACAATATGGCTAACACACACATACACACACACATACACACACACACACACACACACACACAAGATGAATGCTGCTAAGCCATTAGTGGTCTACATAGTTACTGACTATGAATATTTACAGTATTATAATATAAAAAATGAGGGCATTAAATAAAATCTTAAGTTACTTCCTATGCATTTGTTTGTGGTAACCTTTTCCTGAAATTGTATCCCAGTGGGCAGCCAATTGGGTTTGCCACTCTCTTTGAGGCTGTACTTAATCATCATCACTTCTCAGTATGAAGCATAGCTTCTGTGTAATAGAAGTAAGGAAAAGAAAACTGCCTCTGAGTGAGCTAATGCCCTGATCTTACAAAGATGGTTCAAGTGCAAGCGTACTGAAAAACATGGCTCAATCTTTTACCAATGTAGTTAGTTAATGTTGTTCCTTTTAAGTAAGCCTTAAGTAGCAGTCCTTGTGTTTTCCTACATTCCTAATTCTACAAAATTGTAAATGATGGCAGAGTTATGCAAACTGAAACATTCCTTGCGAGTCTCCACTAAATGCAAGGTAATGGGATAATTAGAAAACACGACTGAAGCTCTGTCAGCATGTTAGCTGGAAATCAAATAGGAAAAGGTGATTTGCTAGACTACTGCCTAGGAATCACCAGTAATGTCAGAAACTATTTTTAACCCAAGGATTCTATTCAATTCTCACACATAGACTTCACAAGGGGAAGAGAAACCACAAGGTAAAGAATATATAGGACAAAAATCAGAGTGGAAAACACTAGTGGAACTCGATGTAAGAAAGTAAGAAATTAACTTATAAAAGAATTGCATTTCATGCTGAGAATGATGACAAGAATGAAATGAAAGGGTCACAAGCAGTTCCTAGAATAAGGAAGTGATAATTTATAACTGAGAAAAGTCTATCCAGAAAAGTGCATAGGATAGTGGAGGGAAAAGAAGAAACTACAAAAAATTAAAATGTATCTACTCAACTGAACAGATGCTAGGAAGCTGAGCTAAAATTTGAGGAATGCATCAGGGATATGATACTTTCACTGAATTTATGAGTTCTTCCTATCAATGCTTTAATATGTAAGGCTATAGCTTAATTATAACAAAGCTTCTTTGGTTTCCTTTGAGATACAACAAGGTATCTTATATGCAAACAGGCAGTAGATTAAAATTTTTAAAGGTTTTTTTCCCCATTTCATCCACGCACTCTGCACTCATATTTGCAGAGTGGACCCATTGTTTTTCTAATGCTATTAATACTAAACAGGGCTTATCCTTCCATGTTTGCTCCATATAAAGCCCCAAGGTCACATGGAAAATGAAAAAAATTCAGTTGTATGTATCTTTGGTAATATGTGACTGCCTAGTCATATATTAGTTTGTTGGTTGTATTCTTTATGCTCCAGTGGTCTGTGCATGCAGCATATAGCTAACCATCCTGACAAGATGCCAGAAGATGGGGAACAGGTATGAATAGGAAAAAATGCAGCTATTTTTTAACAGTCAAAAACCAAACAAAAAGCCAATATTTTTTTTAATTTAATTTTATTGTCAAGGTGATGTACAGAGGGGTTACATATGCAAGGTATTGAGAACATTTCTTACCCAATGTTACATTTTAAGGATTCTCCAATCACATGATATATCTGGTGTGTGTGTGTGTGTGTGTGTGTGTGTGTGTGTGTGTGTGTGTATTACTGGGATTGAAGGCAAAATGTCACACATACTAAGCAAGCATTGTACTACTGAGCCATCTCCGCAGTCCATTTACAATTTTAGAATTGTTTCTGCAGTTTGTTCTAGCAGACCAATCTGTACCCACCCTTCAAAGCCCAAGTAAATGGTATCAGTGTCCTAGAGAATGATTTTTACATGCATTTGAACAGGGCCAAGGTTAACGAGGTGGTTAGAGCTACATTGCATGTTAGTGGAGGATGGGGCAAATTGAAAATCATTACTTTGACCCTATATGTATCTCTGATCTTCTACTTTGCTCTTTTTCTCACCTTAGCCTACATAACCACATGTCCAACTTAGATCTTAGATAACACTAAACATGCTGAGAGAAACACAATCCTCTCCTCATGTATATATGCTCCTGGTCTTAACTGAGATCTGACTTATTCTGATAGTGTTTGTCTGTGTGTCCATTTTGATAAACCCAGATTACAAGTCTCAGGCATGAATGGCTTTGTTTCCATGCAGGGAGGGATTGTAATTCACAAAGTATGAGATTGAGGAGAGTTTAATGAGGAGATGGTCATTAAATTGAAACTAATTTTTGAAGGTACTCAAGTTGCTAATGACCCACATTAAATTATCTAGAGAAAACAAGCCCACTCAATGGAACAAAAAAAGCAGTATTTCACAAAACATGAAGGACAAGAAGATGCCATAAAAATGAAACCTTCTTCCCATTATGGGTTTTTGGTTAAAGAATGATAATCATGTCGTGAAAAGATGTGGCTTGGTGGTTTTGTAGGAAGGGGAGGAATGCCCCTTACAAATCATGTGAACTGTTTCTTCAAAATCCTCTCCACCAGGCAGGGAACCTTATTGAGATGGTCAGAAATACCCACAAAAGGAAAGAATGCTGCAGGGCATTCAAAAATAAAGTTTGACTTCCCAGGTGCTTGATGTCTTCTCCTATCAGTCTTTTATGTTCTGGGTATTGCCTATTACTGTTTAGTTGGTACTTATTATGTTATTATGGTTTTATAATGGAACTGTGTTACAGCATGGACTTTATCACAGAATCATATGAAAATGTTCTGCAAGAGAGAAATGAGCCATGGAAAAGTTAAATGAAAATCATTTCTAAAAGGCACAAATTAGGAAGAAAATAACAAGGTTTAATAGGGCTATAGATGCTAAAAAATGCCACTGAAAAATCTAAATCCTCTGAGGGAAATACGGTTTCATTCTCCTAGAAAAGAGTTCTATTTATTACTTCTTCACCAGAGACTTGAAGTTTATAATTTTTCCAGTTCCAGATTCATATCATAAAATCACTCATTGAGTCAGTCTTTTAATATTCATTAAATAAGCCTCTGTTCATTTCCATTAATCAATTCAATTAAGTACTGCTTCTTTCATATGCTTTCCCAGCTACAAACTAACTGCTCTGGCATGAACCTGAGATAAGGTCTCACTAGGGTTTAGTGGATGTCATCATTGCATACTAGACTCTTACTGTTCAATGAAACAGACAGGAAAGAAAGAAAGAAGAGGAAAATGAAAGGGGAGAGAGAGGAAGAAAGGATGGGAAAAATCACCAGCCGCTAAATTTCCATTGAACTAAACCATAAACCTGTGTTAAGAGTTCATTGGCAGGAAAGACCCAGGCAAAAGTCTCCAGGTTTAAGGGCATCTTATTGAGAGTTGTGGCCACTGTGTAGAATTTAGAAATCAATTCAGTGGCATATGTGAGACCATAGTTCATGTGCAAGGGTCTCTCCCATTAAAGTATAATAAGAAAGGGTTCTTTTGCTAGGTGCCAATGGCTCAAGCCAGAAATCTTGACTACTCAGGAGGCTGAAAACTGATCAGAGTTTGAAGCCATCTTAGAACGAAAAATCCATTAGAATCTTATCTCCAGTTAACCAGCAAAAATCTGGACGTGGAGCTGGAAGTGGTTCAAGTAGTAGAGTGCACAGTGCCAAGCTCTGACTTCAAGACCCAATACTGGTACAAAAGAAGAGGAGGAGAAAGAAGGGGAAAAGAAAGCAGGGGGAGGGGGAGGAAGAAATAAAGTGGTGAGCTTAGTAAGCATGAAAGACTTCCATCTCTTCAAAATGCCATGACTTCTTTAGTTACAATATTCAAGTTTATCTCTGATTCTCAGGCCTCAATTCAAAGACATTAATTTCTTTTTCTCAATCTATGATCAGTTTTCTCCCTCCATAACTCACAGTTTGCTTCTTGGTTTACATTGTCCCTCAACTTACCACGTTCTAACCCTTTTGACTGAGCAACTCACTTTTGCTCTCCTCCACTCTGACAAGTATGAATGATGGGAAGGTATCAATATCATTCAAAGAATTTTCATTTTGAACTTTCCAAACATGCATTTCATAAAAATGTATTACATACAATATTAAGAGTCAGCATAATGTTCCTGTACCCTACCTTATGGTATACATCTGTGCCCTTTAATAGTAACAAGTCAGAGATGATATCACAATAATTCTATGTAGACTATTATAGTTTATATAAGGTATCTTCTAGTCATCACAATTACTTAAACTAGATAAGATTTCTATGGAACTTCTAGCTAAAAAGAACTAATTTTGAAGATGCCAATGGCTGGACTATGACACATAGAATTTGCTTGCTTTGTTTGAGAAGAGCACCACATTCCAAGAGATATTGCCCATCATTTTTTCAATGGTGAGGATGATAATAATACATCATAGTCTGCCCTCTATATCTGCAGACTAC